CACAAATATTTTGTTACTTCACTTGGAAGGTGTGGTGATTAGGACAAGGGCCAGATGGATCTCATTGACTATGAGATCCTTGATTAGAGTTGTTAACCTGGGACAATGAGGGAGTCCTGGCTGACAGATCTAAACAGAAGATTCAGAGATCTCCTCACTCTAGGGATTGGTTCTGAGCTGGCTGGTCAGAGTCCATGTCCTGTGCATACTTAAATAAAGGATGACTTGGTGACGGGATACCAGCCTTTGTGCAGTTATTTCAGAAGGGCTATTTGTGGCCTTGGCCGGTGAGAAGGGAGGAGGTAAAAGAATGGGTGTTCCATCTGTAGCGCTTGTATGGACAGGTGCCTTGGGAAGGGTGGGGCTAATGGGATAAGAAATCTGCTTCCTCGAGATAATACATTATTTTTGCCCGGATTATAGCTCTGCATTGTTGATTGGAGAAACATTGGGCTGAATGTTAGAAGACACAGTGTTCATGTTCCTCACACATTACCCTTCCCAATGGGCAGCATGGCTGTCCCTCTGACATTTAATGGGAATTCATACATTTGGCAGTTCTATAGTTGCGACAGCATCAGTCAAGAGCAGTTGTCATTGTTGATGTAACAAGCAGTCTCCACTAGAGACAGTCACTGGCTCACGTAGACATCAAGGTATGTGGGATCGGTGGTGATGGGGGAGAAGTGGAAGAGAATTTCAGCAAGATCACACTGACAAATTCTGGACCTGGAGTGGTACTGAGTTTGTGCTGTTGCAGGGCAGTGCGAAGGGGATGGCATGATCTCAGGGGAAGTTAGTTGACTCCAGTGGGCACAGGGAACCTGTGAAGAATGATCCCTTTTCCAAGTCAAACGCTAGCCCAAGCAGCTAAAGCTGTCTGATATCTGCCCAAATGTGGGTCTTCCCATTAGTTGACCACTTAAGGGCTTTGATAGTCCAAAGGCTACTCAATACCTCTACCGCCATGATAAACTTTGTGAGAGTTTTGCCACAGGTTGGTCGGTGGTGGGAAGGCAGCACACTGGAATTTATGAGATTCACTTATTTCAGTGGCCAGTCCACTGCCCTACATGAACAGGTGAGAAACTGTTGTTGAAGGTCAGAAGGTGGATGAATTACTCAGACCGGATGGACCACACCCCACAGTTCTGAAGGAGTAGCTGAGGAAATTGTAGAGGCATTGGTGGTGGTGTTTCAGGAATTACTAGAGTCAGGGAGGATCCCAAGAGGACTGGAAAATGGAAAAAGTAACATCCCTGTTTAAAAATGGAGAGCAACAGAAGGCAGGAAACTATAGGCTAGTTAGTCTGACCTCGTTAAGATTTTTAGGTCCTTCATTAAGAATGAGATTGTGGAGTACTTGGATGTGCAAAATAAAATAGGACTGAGTCAACACAGCTTCGTCAAGGGGAGGTCATGCCCAACAAATCAGTTAGAATTCTTTGAAGAAGTAATGAGCAAGTTAGACAAAAGAGAGCCAGTAGACATGATCTATTTGAATTTCCATTCTATTTTGACAAGGTGCCATACAGGGCCTTGCTAAATAAGTTAAGAGGCTATGGTTTTCGAGGCAAAGTATTGGCATAGATGGAGGATTGGCTGATTGGCAGAAGGCAGAGTATGGTGATAAAGGGGTCTTTTTTCATGACAGCAAGTGGTGATGGTGGAGTTCCACAGGGGTCACTGTTGGGACCACATATACTCAGGTTATACGTTAATGATCTGGATGAAGGAACTGAGGGCATTGTGGCTAAGTTTGCAGATGACACAAAGACAGGTGGAGGGACAGTTAGTATTGAGGATGCAACAAGGCTGCAAAAGGACTTGGACAGGCTAGAAAGTGGGCAAAGTAATAACGGATGGAATACAATGTGGGAAAGTGTGAGGTTATGCACTTTCATATGAAGAATAGAGGCATAAACTATTTTTTAAATGAGGAAAGGTTTTGGAAACCTGAAGCAGAAATGGACTTGGGAGTTCTAGTTCAAGATTCTTTTAAGGTTGACATGCAGGTTCAGTTGTCAGTTAGGAAGGCAAATGCAATGTCAGCATTCATTTGACGAGGGCTGGAATAGAAGAGCAGAGATGAGCTGCTGAAGTTGTATAAGACTCTGCTTAGACCATTTGGCTTATTGTGAGCTGTTTTGGGCTTGTACCTAAGGATGGATGTGCTGGGGTTGGAGGGGTCCAGGGAAGGTTACAAGAATGATCCCAGGGATGAAAGGCTTGTCATATGAGGAGCGGTTGATGACTCTGGGTCTGTACATGATGAAGTTTAGAAGGTTCAGGGGGATCTGATTGAAGCTTACAGAATATTGAGAGGCCTGGATAGAATGAACATGGAGAAGATGTTTCCACCAATAGGAGAGACAAGGACTGAGGGCACAGCCTCAGAATGAAGGGACAACCTTCATTTAGAACTGAGATGAGGAGGAATTTCTTCAGGCAGAAGGTGGTGATTCTGTGGAACTCATTGCCACAGAGGGCTGTGGAGGTCAAGTCATTACGTGTTTTTAAGGCAGAGATAGGTTTGTGATTGGTAAGGGGGTTAAGAGTTATGTGGAGCAGGAAGAAGAATGAGGTTGAGAAGCATGTCAGCCATGATCGAATGGAAGAGCAGACTTCATGCACTGAATGGCCTAATGCTGCTTCTATATCTTAGGGTCTTATGATGCTGGGTCCAGAGATTAACAGCTTAATGTGTGACAATGCACAGGAAAAGGGTTTCTTGGAGAGTCTAAGGAGAGCTCAGAGTGGGGTGCAAGTGTCTGCAGAGACAGGAAGTGTTAAACTATTGTAAATCTCTTATTTGTTTTGTGTGGTCAGGAGGAGCAACATCAACCATTCAGTTCCTCTTTATGCCCCACCCTTTCTCAGATCAGCTTCAAACTGGCAGAAAAACCATATTGGCATCTCCATTTGGGCCCAAGGTGAAATTGTAGTCAGAGCACCATGTGTCATTTTTAAAAAAGGGTTGCATCAGCTTAAGCTGAGTAGTTTGTGATAGGGCTAAATCAGGACTGGTGCAAAATAGCTGAGAGATTGGCAGGTAAGTTAACGTTTTGACTTGCCATATGCCCAGATATCCAGACAAATTGCAGGTTAAAATCATCCCCTTAGAATTCTGAGGTTTCGTAGAATTGAGATGATACTTTAAGTAAAACATTACTCTCATTAAAAATAATGAGAAAAATATAAATGCTTAAATAAGCCCTCAGCCTGTCATAGTTTCCTATGTTAGAGTTACATTTTAAGCCTGTCTCCTAAATTATCCAAAAGCTGAATGCGTTTTAGGAAGAAAAAAGGCCTTTCATATGAGATGAAAGATTTAATTGATTTTGCATAGTTTTACACAGAGGTGCAGATTGTTGAAGAGTATTTTGTGCATTTTTTGACATGAAGAATCTATTTTTATAAGATTTGTTATTCTCTTGTTATCCTAACGTCTTAAAAGAATGACTAGTGAAATTGTTACTGAATTGGTTAAATTTTCCAAACTTCCCTAGATTCGGGGAAGTTTCTATTATATTGGAAAGTAGCAAATATGTAACACATTTATCCAAAAAGGGAGGGAGACATAAAGCAGAAAACGATAGACCAGTTAGTTTAAAGTCTGGCATAGCAAAGATGTGGAACCTGTTACTGAAAACATTCCAGTAGGGCTTTATGGAAAAGTTCAGGGTAATCAAGCAGAATCATTGTAAATTTGTGAAAGGAAAACTATGTTTAACCTATTTATTGGAGTTTGTTGAGGAATAACGTGTTGTGAATGAAGGCAAAACCAGTGGAAGTACTGTACTTTGATTTCCAAAAGTTAGTGATTGAGGTGCCACATGAAAGGTTAATGTGGAAAATAGAGGTCATGGTGTAGGGGATAACATATTGGCATGGATAGAAGATTAGTTAACGAACATGAGACAGAGATGAGAATGGAAATTTTGCAAATGTAAAACTAATGCATTTTACATACTATATACACTATTGGTCTCCTTATTTAACAAGGAATGTAAATATGCAAACCAGAGAAGGTTGACTGGACTATGCCTTAAATGGGCAGGTTGTTCTCTGAGGAAAGGTTGGATAAGCTAGGCTTCTAGCAGTTGGCGTTTAGAAGATTAAAACGTCATTTGGTTGTTTCATAAGACATGCTAATGGGTCTTAATAGGGTGGCTGAGGAGAGGATATTTCCTCTTGAGGGAAAATCTGGACTTGAGGAAACTTTAAAAGTAAGGGGTCATCCATTTAAGATAGGAATGAAATGTTTTTCACAAAGCGTCTTGCATCTTTGGAACACAGATCTTCAAAGGCAATGGAAATAATCGTTCTTAAATATTTTTAAGGCAGAGTTAGTTAGATACTTGATAAACAAAGGAGTTAAAGGTTGTCGGGGTGGGTAGATGAGAATGAAGTTATCAGATCAGCTATTGTGTTATTGAATGGTGGAGCAGGTTTGAAGGGCTGAGTGGCCTACTCCAGCTCCTAACTTGTATGTTCGTACATATGTTCTAGTCTAAGACAGTGGGGCTTTCTACCAAGGATCTACAACTGTGACCAATCACTGGCATATGTGTCACATTGGGCTTTTATGAAGTGTATATGAGTGGGTAGAATTTTTGGTCTTGGGTATTTTCTCTTCAAGATTATTATATCTTCTAATATGTCTATTTTGTTTTTGGTTAGATCAATAAATACCCTAAAAACCTAAAGTATGGATGTCATACCATTTTTTAGCCAACAGCCCTACAGCCAAATATATACTAGATGTCAGTCATTTCGGGTTTTGTGAATGTCTCTATCTTTCTGTATATTTTCCATGTCTTCTTACCCAGTCTTCTAGTAATTTATTGTTTTTTTTTTGCTGTGCAATATGTTAAATCACATTGGGAGAAGGAAAGGGAAAGGAGGACAGATGTACTATGAATTTTAATGCACAATTATGATTGTGAAAATGGCAAATTTTGTAAGTTGCATTTCCTGTGCTTGTTTTACCTCCCTAGTTTCTGTTGGATACGAATATGAATCTTGTCCAAACCTTATCCTATGGGAGAAGAGAACTGCCCTGCTGCAGGGCTACGAACTGGATCCATCCAACCTGGGGGGTTGGTCACTGGATAAGCATCATGCTTTGAATGTAAAAAGTGGTGGGTTGTCCAATTTCTAGCAAATTATTCTACATGATTTCTTGTAATGCATTATTGTTTCAAATATCTATTATACTGTGACAACTTAGTTTAGATTCTGACAGATATTTCTGCTATTTTCTGTTCATATGATAAACACATTTACTTTTTGAGAAAAGAATGATGAATGTTTTCAGTTCAAAAAGGAGGCCATTCAGCCTGTCATGTCTGTCCTAATTTTGCAGCAATCCAAAGTGAAATTTGTTGTTTCCAATTCTCCCATAACCTTGTTTCTTCCTCTACTTCAAATACCTTCTCTTGGAAGGTACAGTAATGTCTTCATGAATGGTTCCTATGGCAAAGCATTCATGCAAAGTAAGTAATTCCATGCATCAACGATTTCCCTGCAAAGACATTTCCCCTAAGCTCCCTCTTTCTTCTCAGTAAAAATTTTAAGTTGCTGACCCATTTGTCCTCAGTCAGAGGAAATAGACTTTTTAAATTCAGTACTGTGCATGAAATTTTAAAAGAAAACTCTTTAGAACTCCATGTAGTATAGAGAAAAGAATCATTGGGCAGATTTTATTTTGATGCCCCTTGTCCCCACACTCCCGCAACCAACCCCAGAACGGGGTTTAGGGGAAGGGTCGCCTCTCAATTGGGCCAGAAGGAGCAAGCTGAAAAGTCAGTTGCCTTCCCATTCCCCATCCCAATGTCACGATGGGGGAAGCTGGAAGTCAGCCTTGCCACCCAAGAGGCCCCAAGAGGTTCACTTATGTACTAGAGGCCGGAATGGTCCACACTGGGTGGGCAGTCTGCTTATAGACTGGGTTAGGAACAACCTAGGCCCAACAAAAAGCCCCACTAACAACAATGTCTGTCTCGGTTGGAAAACCTCCTCCACATTCTTCTTATCGTCTCTCCCTTCCCCCCAACCTGACTACCTCACCCCTAGGAGAATGCTCCATTTACGTCTCCTTCAGGGCCTCCATGGATGTTCTTCCTGCAGATCTGTTGCTGCTCCTAGTGATGCCACTGAGTCTGAAGTGTTGCCTGCTCTCTGACTGAGCTGCAGCTCTTGGATGCGAACTCCTCATTCTCAGGAAACCACACAGTAGGCAGGGAAGCAATTGTCTGGAGTTAGCTCCCATTGGGAATCCTGGAAAAGAATACCTTCAGGTTATCATTAACTCTCCAGCTGGTGAATGGGACCTTCACCACGGCTAATAAGTTCACTCCATTGCGCTTTGATATTTGTTAACGATTCACAGACTATTTTGTTTAATAGAAATGATATACTTTCTGTCATTTTTGTTTTAAAATGTACTTAGTCAAGGTTGCTCTTCAAAGGCAGAAACCCTTAATATTGGGGAATGTGACCACATTTCCACAAATCCACGATGATAGTGTGAAATAAGTCTCCCACAACCATGTCAGCCATTTTCGATAAGATTAAAATAGGTATTGATACTTCCTTTGAAGATTTCTGATTTTGTAAGTCTTTAAGTGCTCCAGCAAATCAGACTCAATTCAAAAGTCAGTGGTGTGCGTGCATTTTGAATAATTCCAAAGAGTAATGGCAGAGAAGCTTTACTGACCTGATCCATAGGGAACAGTACCCCACCACCACCCTGCCTGACCCCCACTGCTCCTGTGCCCCTCAAAGCCATAACCACAAGGTGCAATTTTACCCCCAGTAACATCATTGATTGGTTCCCTGTCTGGAAGTTAGATTGATTACAAACTGGGTCTCCATTCAGGCAAGCCAAATGTGAAGCCTGCAGCATCAGGCAAGTCCCCACCAGGGATGGGTGAATGTGGGTGGTGGTGTTCAACAGGGGTTACAAGGGCTATTCAACCCCTGGATTAAGTAGCTAATCAGAGATAATGAGGATATAGCTTGACCCAAAGGGTGTGTTTTCATTCAGTAGGGCAAAATGAGGGATTGGGAGAAAGGCTGTTGATCGACATGGTTGAGGAGAACAATCAGAGATCGGAGTGAGGAGAGGGCTGGTCAATCAAAGGTGGCGGCAGTATTGATTGAGAGGAGGAGGGGATTTATCTAAGGAGGAGGAGGAGGGGAATTGATTGGGTAAGCTGCTAATCCCAAGAGTGGATCCTCATGTAGGATCAGGACCAGAGAGGTCTGGCACACTTGGGATATCAGAGAGTTCGGGCAGGTTGGAGGGCCTAGATGAGGGGCTTTGTAGTGGTGGAGGGGCAAAGATGGGGGGCTGAGGTCAAAAGTTATGTGGTGGGATCAAAGGCCTTGGGAAAAGATCATTAATATGTTGAGATCAATCATGGAGACTTAGTTCATAGGCAAGCTCCAGAAAAACCTTGAATCTGTCAAGTCCTGTGAAGCTAAAATGGTAAAAATTTGTGTCAGAAAACAGATTTTTGAGAGTTTAACCCTTCACTGGCCCAGATCAACCATTTTATTTTAAATTCAGCCCATGGAGTGTTTCTTTAATGCTGAATGCTGAGTGAGCTTCTCAGAACAGGTCACCCTAACGGCTGCCCAACAACTCTTGGCTTCCTCAAGCCTTCCAGACCCTCTGCCTCACCTTTTACATCCTCCCCTCTTACCAAGGCTTTTGTAAATATATTTACAATTCCCCTATCAATCTCTGGTGTTCTGCTGCTGGCTGTTGTTCACTCTGTTCAGACGAATGTTCTTTGTAGATTGTAGATGCTAACCCACTCTCACCCTCCTCTCCAGGTGTCTTGCACAAGGGAAATGGTGAAAACCAGTTTTTATCCCAGCAGCCAGCAGTGATTAACAGCATCATGGGAAATGGACGCAGGCGAAGCATCTCCTGCCCCAGTTGCAATGGCCTCGCTGATGGAAACAAGCTGCTGGCCCCTGTGGCTTTGGCTGTTGGTATTGATGGCAGTCTGTACATTGGAGATTTCAACTTTATCAGACGTGTTTTTCCTGCCAAAAATGTCACCAGTATCCTGGAGCTGAGGTAGGAGACTCAGTAATAAATCACTGTCACCTGGCAGTTTCTGGTTTGCTGCATTATTGGCTGGAGTACTGTGACTGAATTTGCCTTTGATTGTATGAGGAATATAAACTGAGCACTCAAGGTGAAGCCCAGCATTCAATACACAGTACCTGGTGACTTACTTGAACTGCTGTTACTATTTCTTCCCTTTCGTTATCATTTGCAGATACTTATTTGATCAACTCATTGATTTTTAACTCATGGATATCCCATAATTTTCAGGGTTTTATTTTAAGAAGACAAAGAACATTCTTTTGCTGTTGCAGCTATTCCTCCTTTCACCCGACAGAAATGAAAATAAAACAGCAAGATAAAGAGTTAGCAAAAAGGTGTTCCTGTGAGTCAGAACATGGCTCAAGCAGCAGTTTTCACTTAGCAGGGGTTACGTTCACTGGTCCCAAATCAAGCCCAAGTGGTAGTCATTTTAAAATGATATATGCAAGGAAAAATAAATTAGTGGACCCTGAACCCTCCCCCACCAGAAGTTGTGAATGACCGTGAAACATACAATTTGTATTTGGTCCCATATAATTTTTAGGAAGGTAACCAATTTTCCCTCAGATATGTTTTTGCATAACAGTAAGTTTATAAGCAATTTAAAAGCGTATGCATCTAAAATGTCAAATGTAATAGTTGACATCTTGCTGAATTATGAAGTTAGTAGTTCTTTCAAACTTATGAAATTATAAAGGAAGATAAGTCAAGTTGCACACGGTAAATCACCTTCTGAATTAACAAGAGGACTTTTCTTTCAAATCCCACGGTAGTTCTTCACTCATAGAACACTTTTCGAAGCTATATGGAGGGTCCTATCAAGTAGCAGCCTGTTGGGAAATGAAAAGAATTTAAGTCTGAAATAAATGTATGTGATATTTTCCTGCAGCTTCCAGTAAAATAGAATTCAGCTCAAGTAACAAAATTCACTTACAGAAATCAAATATTCTTTGCTGTCTTCCCTGAGACCCGTTAATAGCAAAAAAGGAACTAATTAAAACTCACTCTTCCTTTTCATTTCTGTTTTTATTTTACAAAATACCGTATGCTGAAATATATTTGTGGAAACAACATATCTCGGACAGTGTCCTAACTTGCACCAAAGTTCCATTCGGCCATCTACCCTGTGTTTGCTGATCTATGTTGGTTCCCAGTCTAGTAGTGTTTACTTTTATAGTTTTCATTCTTGTTTGACATTACTCCATGTATCTCTGTCACCTCCAATTCCACAACCCTCTGAGATTCCTAAGCTTTTCGAATTCTGGCCACTTGGGTACCTTCAGTTTTCGTAATTCCACACTATTCGCAGCTGTACTTTCAGTTGCCTTAGCCCTGAGGTTTGGCATTCCCTTCATGAATCTCCCCCACACTTTACATCCATCTCCTCCATAAAAATGCTACTTAAAACTGACTTCTTGGCTGAAACTTTTGGTCACCTGTCCTAATATTTCCTCATGTGACACGCAGTCATATTTTGTTTGATAAAGCTCTTGTGGAGCTTTTTGGAACATTTTAGTCTGCTAAGGTAAAATATATATACAAATTATTATTGTCAGTGGTGTTAAACTGCTAAATGTTTTTTGCAGCTCTTCAATCCATGTGAGCTGCTTTGCTTGTAATTGCACTATGAGATGTTTCAGCTTTGGCATTATTCTGTACGTTACATTGATACAAATATTCATGTTGTCCATCTTTTCCTGTATTCTCCTTCCTGTACAGTTTTGTGAAATGCCACACTGGTCAAAATTCATTCTTGTCCTTCATCCTTCAGGAGTCCTGCTAGTTGGGTGAAACACATTTTATCAAATCACAGCCCATTTAATCTCCATTAACTATGTCCTTGTTTTAGTCTTGACAAATATTGGGAAAAATCTGAATGTTGGCAATTAAAAAGTCACTGAAGTGAAGTAAGTAATGTGGTGATGCAACACATTGGCAAATCGATGCATCGTGCTCTAGAGTATAGCATGCAGATTCCATGTCTGCAATCCATCCTCTTTTTTTTTCGATTTCAACAATGCCATTAGGATAGATGCTGACTGGAGCCAGGTGGTTCCCTGCAGGAAGTGAAGAGAAAGTGAAATTTCATTCTCATCCGGTGCTGCGCTCAAACAGCTTCTAGCAGGTGGCCAAAGGGCATCATTGGCAGAAATCATGGAGTGAAACTTCACTTCTTATGCATGGCAGATGTCATTATGTGGAGCAGGGAGACTCAAAAGAGGAACATAATAATAACTTGTCAGCAAAATCAAATGGAATTATACAGTTCCTGGTATCCTAGTTACAGAATTTCATTTTCTTTTCCTCAAATGACAAAGAGCTGGCTTATCACTTCTGACTTAACCAGATACCCTCACCTTTGCTCTAAGAATAATGTTTCATCCAGTATTATGTTTACTAAAACTGGGTCTGATTTTTGTAGTTTCAGCTAAGACTGAGTTTCAAGAATATAGTGCAGATAGAAGCAACAAGAAATCTGTTAAATTATCGCTCAGAGGTGGATAGAATTCCAAACAAAGACCTATGCATGTGATTTTGAATATTAGATATTGTATGTCGCAGTGAGGACGCCTTCACTTATTTGAGCTCTTCACTGCTAAGAAACTGTATGAGCTTATTATCAGCTTCAGCAGTGGAGTGAATATCAATACGTGAATTAAATGCTCTCTGATACTCCATACCAGAGAAATCAAATTTAGTGGTTATATCAGTGGGTAATTTTTGCTTTCATTGCGCTTATTTTTATATCACCTTCTTCTACTAGGTATTCAAGCATGCCTGTATTGAATGTTAGAACAATCTCAATTCCTCAATATTAAGATTTCAGTTCATTATTGCTACTTACATCTTCAGGGGGAAAAAATGTCAACAACTGACTCACATAGCTCTAACCTCATAATCTTACAAAGCAATATTTACAGCACAGTACAAAAACGTGATTGATGCATTTAAAACTTCCAGTGTGCCAGTCTCTATAGTTGTTTATAAACAGTTTCATGAATATTGTTTCGGCCCTATCAATCCCGCCCTTGATTTTTAGTAATATTTTTGCCTGTCACCACTTATCTGTATTTAATAACTTCAGCAATCATACAATAAACTAATGATAAACAATGTATGTCTTGGATAATTGTTTGCCTGTTCCTCTTTTTCTATTGCTGTCTTTCCACAAAGAAATAAAGATTTTAGACATAGGTAAGACAATCACTTTAACATGCCTGCTTCAGAAATACTATCTTGTCTTTATTTTCCTGCATTGTTTTGTTTTTTTTTTCAGTTTTTAGATGTGTTTGTTTTTTCTGTTATTGCTTAACCTGCTTTAGACAAAAGAACTCTGAATAAATGCTGTTACTTATAGGTACTATCAGTGGTTAGTACTTATCTGTAGATTACCTCCTCGTGTATGGTTAGTAATTTATCAGTAGATGACATGGAAATAAGTGGGTCATCCTCAGGGCTGTATCAGGAGCATACAGATTTCTTATAGCTTTAGAAGGGGAAGAAAGAAAGAGAAATTTTCCCCTAAGAACAACTATTGGTGTGTGTTTGGAACTGCAATTTTGTATCAAAGCTGTGGTTTCAAGCCCTAATCCAGCCCCTGAGTACATAATCTAAATGGGACAGTTTTTGTATTATTGAGAGAACTCTGCTGTCTTCAGAGACATATGTAATTGTTGCCCCATCCAGCCTCTCAGATGGTGTAAAAGATACAATGGTATTAGTAAAAAAGAATTCTCCAGTGTCCTAAGCCAACAAGTACTTCTCAATCAATGCCTTGTAAACAGATTATCTGGTCATTTTGTCCATTACTGTTTGTGGAAACTTACAGTATGTGGCTTGGCTATTGTTTTTGCATATAATATTCAAAAATGAACCACTTGCTATTGGAACTTTGGAGAATCCTAAGGATCTGATCTATAGAATGGTTACAGCATAGAAGGCCAGTCACTTCAATCTGTCTGTGCCAGCTCTTTGCAAAAGCAATTAATTTAGTCCCATTCACTCACCATCATCACATTGTTCCTTTCAGATAATCCTCCAATTCTTTTCTGAAAGCCAAAATTGAATCTGCCCAAATCATTCTCTAAGGCAGTTCATTCTACCTTCTACCAGATGCTACGTACAGGTTTCTTGTCACATCACCATTACTGTTTCTGCCCATCATCTTGAATCAATGTCATCTGGTCCATGATCCTTCCCCCATGGGAAAGGTTTCTTCCCATCTACTCTGTCTAGACCACTAATGATTGTGATTCTCCTCTCAATGGAGAACATCTATTAAACAAAATAATCTCGTTGATGCCAAACCATTTTTAATGCAGATTTAGCATAGTTTCCTTGCTTTTGTACTCCCCATCCCTGTTTGTAAAGACCAGGATCCTATATGCTTTATTAATCACTCTCTCAACCTGCCTTGTCACTTTCAGGTGGTGAGGAAACGTGTTGAAGTTGTTGAACTCCTCCCCCAATTTTGTTTACCACTAATCTCTTTGCTGAATCTAACTTTACGTTTGGGAGTGGAAGTGGCAGTGGTGGATGTTATGGTAATCATAGCCAGTTAGATTTGCAGATTTGCAATAAAGTACATGTATCATGCACAAAAGCAGGGTTAGAAAAACAAATATATAGCCTAGTAACAGCAAGCATGAACTTTGGAATGACTATTGGCAAAACTGAAAACTGATGCCTATCTCAAAATCATCAAGAAATATTCATACATTCACAGCAGGAAAGGAACAGATGCAAGGATTGAAATATTTAGAAAGCATTGTATCTGCAGGTAGAGAGTGCAAGAAAGAAATAAACACAAGGATAGCTTTCAGAAAGACCATATTTGATAAGAAAATATTTTACAAAACAGGAAAGCTACATACACAACTGAAGATTCAGCTTATAAACAGTTTGATTTCGAATGTATTTTCTACGTGAATGAGACTTGCACATTATAGAAAGAGGAGACCAACTTGTTAAATAATTTTAAAATATAGATTGGAGGAAAATGAAAAGGATCAGCCAGACAGCAAAAGTAATAAGTGATGAAGTGCTGTGGAGAGCGAACAGACAGAAGAATTTGCTGAACAGAATTAAGAGAGAGTCTGGGTCAGGCCCATCTTAAGAGAAAATGAGTTTTTAAGTGATGTTATGGAGGGAAGATTTCAAGGGAAATAAGGAAGGAAGAGAATATCAATGTCTGATTAATTGAAAACTGAAGGAGCGTATGGACAAATTAAAAGACAAACACAGGATGGACAGACACTAAAAGGCGCCTATAAGCCAAGGACCTGCCTTTGGGCAGAATGCACATAATGAAGATGACCCCCAGATGACTCCTGCAACCTTTTGAGAATTGTATCCTGTATTTTGTTTTGCCTCTCATTGTTCTTCTGACCGAGATAAATCACTTCACACTTGTTTGAAATAAATTTAATCTGCAGTTTGTCCTCACATTGCACCAACCTGTCCATTGTCCTTTTATAAGTTTAACACTATCTTCCTCACACTGCACAGTACTTCCAATGTTTTAAGTCATTGACAAATTTCAAAATAGTGACTTCTGCACTCAAGTCTAGATCATTAAATATACTACAAAAGGAATGGGTTCCAACATCAATCACTGAGGCATCCCACCTTAAACATTTTCCAATTGGTAAAATGACCATTTTCCACTAATCTAATTCTTGTCACTCAGTTAAAGCTATACCTGTAGATATAGAGATTAATTAATACGTAGATGCAATTCTGAGATCAGCTGTTAGTGCTGTACTAAGAAGTTGGACCATGTACAGCTTGAAGCATATTGCTCTGTGGCCTTACCATGACGTTCAGTACAATAGTAAATATAGTTTAACACTGACTAAACACTTATCAAGACCCAAACAAATCATACAAGAGAACAATTAAATATGGTAGCGGAGATGGAGGCATCAGTCGAGAAAGATGGTTCCATTTTGTCTCAGACAAATCTGACAAACCTCAAGACAAGATTGAACAACTATGAGGCAAATTTGAACTGAGGCAAGAGGTTCCTCTGAAGATTTCCCTAAGGGAGAGGCTCGACAGCTCACTGGAAATTAGATGAAGCAGTTGAAGACTTTCTCTAAGTGAGCTAAAGCGAAGCATGCTCCATAGTGGCAGTATGTCTATACAACCTTAGCAGTGCCTTCCCTTTACATGCTCTTTCAATGTGGTTGAATGACTGATGCAAGCACTTAGATGGGACACATAGAAGACACAGCTGCTCAGGTATAGAATCGCCTCAGGTTTCCATTTAAAGGAACAATTGCTCCAGGTCAGTTCCTTCTCATATGCAATGGAATTGTGGCTACAGAGATCCTTTTTAGGCATTGGGTTGCTGAAACCTCAGCAGATTTCCAGTCAGTCCGAGGAACATTTAATGCCTTTTTCACATCCAGAACATTCATTATTGAGGACATTTGGTCTGGCCAGATGTCCTAGCAGTCAGTTATCTCAATAGATCCCATTTAAGATTTATGGAGTGTCATGACTTCATTTGAAGATGCAGGGTTGAGAAGTGAACTCATTCAGACACTTAACAGCATACTTCTTGACTTATTACAATCCGAATAAGGACAGATCTTCCAGCAGGCGAAAAAGCATACAAGGCCAGAAAGTGCGAGAGGAGAGCCCATTCAATCCAAACCTGAAGCTCAGTTCAAGCTTGTCAACTCATTAGATCCAAAGATAGCTGCCTTACCCAACAAGAAACCCATCAAAAATTAGCATTTTGAAATGCTAACATTGTGGTTCAAGGAAGTATTGCAGTTGACAGGATTGTTCAGCAGAGGGCATCCATTCCTTTCATTGGAAGATTTGAACATTATCAGCAGGTTTGCAATGCAGAATTATCTTTCTGAAGTAAGTTAACTATTTCACTTCCACAGCAAAGAAGAATCCAGCAAATTGAACAAATAGTAATTATGGAAGACATAATGGGCTGTGAGCCATACAGGGGTACTCACTTAATGGGACAAAAAATTTTGGTCAGTCAATTTAAAGTTTAATAACTTTAATACCTGATTTTGCCTTGATTCAGGGTCAACTTTACTGTCCTGCCCTTTTGCCTCCTATTGTAAACTGACTTTACACAAAACATGTCTGAAAACCACATAGCCAGACTCTTTATTAACCTTCTTTCTATACGTTGGTTTGAAGCAAAATTAACTACAATGGTAAAATTTTCAGAGAGTCTATTTATGTTTGAAATAATCAGACCAAGCCCTTTTTAAGTTAGCAAGCTTTTGTACAGTTAAAGGTTGTGCAGTTAGTATGAGGCTCTGACTATCAGCAAAGTGATTTCTGGCTGTATGATGATTTCATCTAAGATGATGATTATATTCCATTTTATGAGGATTTACCTCTCAGCCTTTCCAGGAACATGATCTTTCATAGAAGATTTCCCACAGCTTTTTCCACCTTTTGAAGTCTTGGATCAAGAAGATTGGATGACATTTTATGAGGAACTTTCTCAGCTTTTCCAAATGCACAATTAGCACTGTGATGCCTCACCAGTTGTGTTGGAAGTAGATAAGCCTCTTACTTCTTCAAACATTCTTAAGCAGGAGACATACCGATGCAATGACCCTGCTAACATATGATTACCAGGCCAGTTTAATGAATTCCAGATCATATAGTACATGATTCTTCAGTTCTTCATGCAAATATATTAAGATTCACCTGATACTTTTCAAGATCAGAGAGAGCAGGATTCTTCACCTAATCTTATGGTGAAGTCATCTTGTATGAATGGCAATGTTAATGAAGAAGCACCACAGGTTGAAGAAGGGATGGAAGTTTCAGTACTTCCAGCTTTATGGTATGATCAGACTAGTACTTCATTCAGCAGCATTCAGGGTGTACCAAATGAGTTTGTTCAAGACAACGGGGAACAGGAAGCTCTGCAGAAATATTCTTCAGTGCTGAAGCATGAGAATGATGCTCACCTTGTGCATGAGAACCCATCAAATATTCGTCTTCATCCCTGAAGTCCTGAAGAATGGTTATACCTGACGCGTTGATTGCTCCTTTCCTCCAGATACTGCCAAGCTTGCTGTGTTCTTCCAGTCTCTTGTTTGTCTACCAATTCTTCGCCTTCATGCTAGTGTTCAGAGGCCCTGTTGAATGTGACAAATGCAACCCTAAAGTAAATCTTTTATCTCATCTGTTCATCCAGAATG